CCTATTGCTTCAGACAGCAATCTAAATAATGCATTGACAACATTGCAAGAGAAGAAACAAACTACATCGAAAACTAACCACAAAGCAGAACTCATAGCCAATTTAAGAACACTTAAAGAGAGTCAAATACTTAGGAAACAACAATTATTGTTGGAATTAAAAAGGGAACAATTAGCCTTAGAAATTGAACTTTCTATGTGTGAAAATGAAAGTGCTCATCCTCAATTTGAAACATCTACCCCTCAGCAAAGAAGGCGTAACGTGACTACAAATATTGACCCTCCGACACTATCATTTTACAATGATCGTGTAATAGAACAGCAACCTATTGAACAATCAAATGTTAGTTTGCAATCTGAGGTGTTAGTGCCTGAAAGTGGCTCAACTTTGCATAAGCTATTACAGAAACAGACTAATCTCACTGAGACTTTATTGGATTATCAAAATAGAAGTCTGTTGCCCCAGCCTGATGTGACAAAATTTGATGGTAATCCGTTAGATTATAGAACTTGTGTTAAATCCTTTGAAAACAGGATAGAAAAAAGAATTTCAGATGATAGTGATAGATTGTATTATTTGGATCAGCTGACAAAAGGCGAAGCTAATGAGTTAGTGCGTAGTTGCCTGCACATGGATCCAAAAACAGGTTTTGCCAAAGCCAAACAACTTTTACATAAACATTTTGGTGATGAATATAAAATTACTACTGAACATTCTAATAAACTTTTTTTGTGGTCCCCTATGAAACCTGAACATGTTGATCAGCTAAAGAAATTCTCCTTAGCACTGATTAGTTGCCTAAATGCTATGCATGACATAAATTATTTGACTGAAATGAATCATCCTAAGAATTTATATGAACTTATGGAGAAACTGCCATACAACATGAGTGATAAGTGGCGCAATAAAGTGAAAAGAGTTAAAGATCAAGAAGATAGAGTTGTGAATTTCGAAGACTTTGCCAAATTTGTTGAGTGGGAAGTCGATGCTATGACTGATCCTATTTTTGGTCGAAATGCGAAAGCTAATTCAAACTTTGATAAAAATAAACCAAAATCTAGTAGTTTTACCAAACCAAAACAAAGTTTGGCTACTAAAACTGACATAAATGTCAATACTGTAAAGTCAAAAAGATTGTGTTTTCATTGTAAAAAGGAAAATCATCTATTAGGTAATTGTTATGAATTTATGAAGTTGCCTATGGATAAGCGTAGAGACTATGCCAAGGAAAATTCATTGTGCTTTGGATGCCTTAGCAAAGGCCATGACTCTAAAGTTTGTCGTAAGAGAAAAACATGCCGAAAATGTGATAAGCCTCACCCTACTTGTTTTCACTATGAACATCCAACTACTCAAGTTGTCAATAATGGACTGGTCAATAGAATGAATCAGGAACCAGAAGTTTTGATGGCAATATTGCCTGTAAATGTAAAAGTTAAAAACAGTAGAATGATAAAAACTTATGCATTTTTAGATAATGGCTCAAGCGGATGTTTTTCTTCCATAAATATCAAGAACAAATTAGGCTTGTTGTGTGAAAAAACGTCTTTAATGTTAGGAACAATGCATGGTAAATCTTTAGTTGAGAGTTATGTGATTGAAAATATGATAGTTTCAAACTTAAATAATCATAGCTCTCTTACATTACCTAAAGTGTTTGTACGAGACAGTATTCCTGTGGATAGGTGTAATATTCCAACAAAATCTGTTATCCAAAGATGGGATTACCTGCGAACTCTGGACATTCCTGAACTGTTTAATGACTTAGAGATAGGCTTATTAATAGGGACAAACTGTGTATATGCCCATGAACCATTGAAAGTTATACCTAGTGTAAATGGTGGACCCTATGCCGTGTTAACTAGATTGGGATGGACAGTTAATGGAGTAGTGAATCCCATTGAACATTCCCTTTCTGTTACTTGTAATAGAATATTCTTGAAGGAAGTGAACTCAACAAAAAGCCATGAAGTGGTGATGAAAGAATCTGTACGGGAAGTTATGGACCCAAAATTACTTTGTCAAATATTTGAAAGGGACTTCAATCACATAGAACTGAATTAGGACCGTCTGTCAATGATAAACATTTTATGAATATAGTTGAGAGTGGTACTGAATTTCAAGATGGACATTTTTGTGTTCCATTACCTTTCAAAGATGAAAATGTGACAATTCCTAACAATCGAGACAAAGCCGAAAAACGGTTGTTTTATTCAAGACGTAAGCTTTTATATAATGTGAACTATCGATCTGATTACTGTGAATTTATGGACAATCTCATTAATCGTAAATATGCTGTGAAGGTTCCGTTACATGACTTAACTAATGATAACGTGTGGTACATTCCACACCACGGTGTGTATCATCCACGCAAGCCAAACAAAATACGTGTAGTCTTTTATTGTAGCGCCAGATTAGACGGAAAGTCCTTAAATGATTACTTACTTCAAGGACCTGACTTGACTAACTCTTTATTTGGTGTATTAGTGCGCTTTCGTGAGAAGCCTGTAGCCTTTATGGCCGATATAGAGGCCATGTTTCATCAGATAAAGGTGCCTTCCCATCACTGTGACTTTCTTAGATTTCTGTGGTGGAAAGACTAGATTTGATAGCCAACCAGTTGAATTTAAAATGATTTCACATCCTTTTGGAGCAGTTTCAAGCCCAAGTTGCGCTAATTATGCTCTTAAGAAAACTGCTGACTCTTTTAGTGACAATGAATTTGTCAAGGATACAATTAAAAGGGACTTTTATGTTGATTGTCTAAAATCATGCGAAACAGACTTAGAAGCTATAAAACTTGCTACTGAACTTTCTTGTGCTTGTGCTAAAGGTGGATTCAATTTAACAAAATTCACAAGCAACAGTAGATCATTGTTAGATAATTTAAGTGAAGATAAACTTGCAAAGGATATTAAGAATATTGACTTAAACTATGACAATCTACCAATTGAACGTGCCTTAGGGGTTAATTGGTGTGTGGAAAGTGACACATTTGGATTTAGAATTACCTTTCAGATAAGCCATTAACTCGTCGTGGAATATTATCTGTTGTAGCCTCCATTTTTGACCCACTTGGCTTAGTTTCTCCTTTCACCCTGCAAGCCAAGAAAATTTTGAGGGAAATATGTAGAGACAATCATGGTTGGGATGACCCTGTTTCTGATCAGCATAGAACTCAGTGGATCAGAAGTCATTTATATCATCTAGAGAACTGTAATGTTTCTCGTTCTCTAAAGCCTAGACTTGGGTACTGTTGTGCATCGTGAATTGCATTTATTATCAGATGCTTCCTCAACTGCATATGGTTGTGTTGCATATCAAAGACTTATAAATGAAAAAGGTGACATCAGTTATAATTTTATCGTAGGCA